GTCTGTCTGTCTCTCTCCTTTGCTGGGCATCAGCATATAATGATGAATGAATATCAATGAAATACACACAGATGCTGCGGCACCACAGAATTAAACCCAAAATTGCCAGCAAATGCAATAATACAGACTATTTTTTTTTCTTCCACTGATCTTCTCTAAAAGCATCATCTTTTCTGGCTGAAAATGTTTTATAAACTAAACTATCTCTCATTTTTTGTAATGTAGACAAGGATAATGAGTTTTTCTATTCCAATACTCATAGTGTAAATCTATCATGTCAGTCCCGTTTGAGGTGGGCGGCACTGTAATATCTGCAGACAGCTCTTTTCATACGGATGTGCTAATGATGACAGACATGTATAATAGACATGATCGGACAGCAGCTGCTAATATACAATGAATTGTCATTCTTTGTCTGCTTTTGAGGGCACGAGACTCGTTCCCATTACCTTAAACGTCCGCCCTGCTCCTAGAAGATTTAATAGAGCCAATGACTTTTCTACTGCTACTCACCCCTTCATCTCAGCCTTTTATTTCTGCTCTTAAAGGAAAAGTTCACCCAAGAATGAACATTTTGTTATCATTTACTCACCCCGTGTCCTTTTAAGCCCATACAATTTTCTTACTTGCTTGGAATTTGAATGATATATATTATAAGATTCAAGCGAATGATCGTTAGAGCATTCAAGCTCTAAAAGAAGTATCATAATAGTTGTCCATAAGACTCAAATACTATATTTCAAATGTTCTGAAGACACGATAGCTGTGTGTGAGGAACAGACTGAATTGAAGCTGTGTTCCCTGATGACCTTGACTTGTCTGAATATTTTGTTCATGAATCAGACTGAACTGATTCAGTTCAACTCACCGTTCCCAGTGACTTCCATTTTATTTTTTGAGTCAATTAGTGGTCATTTTGTTAACGAAAACTATGACGAAAAATGTTCATTGACACACTTTCTTCCCTTGACTAAAACAAGACAACAATAAGCTCAATAAAGGATAACTGTGACTATATCAACATGCAATATTGTTGACAATTAAAGACAAGACTAAAATGTATTTTAAAATATATAAACTATACCAAAATCTCTTTGTATTTTTGTCAAAAAAAGGAGACAAAATATTATTTTGGACTGCTGTACATGCCTCTACTATGAGAGTATCACACACTTTCATGTGTGAAGTTGCCAGGTATCAAGAGCTCAAATCCCCATATCAGAGCTTCTCTGTTAAAAGGATATATTTTCTGTCTGTTGGTTGGCTTAATTTTTGCAATCTGGCAACCATGCACTTGCACTCCGACAAACAAGTAAGCTGAAGTTTACCGATCTCCATGTGAGATGTCTGTTCTGTCATGAGATCTCGACTATTTTGTTTGTGATTGTGATTGCTGAATAAATGCACTTACTCAACCGCTGTTGTTTTAATAGAGAAGCATTATTGCAATTTGGAATTATTGGAATTACTATTAGGAATTTCATTGTTAAATATTTTTTTGCTTGTTTTAACAGTTTTCATAATTTAGACAGAGAGAGTGCATATCTAACTCTTTGATATTAATTTATATATTAAATAGCCTATAATAAATCAGTACACTATAGATGAGGTAAAATAAACCATGTGTATGAGTCCACATGATTTGTGCTTACTGGTGAAAGTGCAAAATAAATCTCTCAAAGGACAACATTCATTGCGATTATAATTTTGAGCATAAAATAATTTTTTATCAGTTTAACCATTATAGAACATGACGAAAATGTGACAAAGTTTGCATCGACTAAAATGCTCAGACATTTAGTTGACTAAAACTTGATTAAACAAAAACAAGGACAAGGTTGAATAAATATGATAGCTAAAAAGTACATTTGACACAGGACTAAGATTAAGACTAAATTAAAAATGGCTAACAAAATGAACACTAGAGTCAATGGAACCTGAAACCAATTGGTAACATTCTTCAAAATATCTTCTTTATGTTCTGCAGAAGAAAGTCAGTCATACAGGTTTGGAACAATATGAGGGTGCGTAAATGACAGAATTTTCATTTTTGGTGGATTATCCCTTCAAATGTTGGTCTGTTTGTCACATAAGATATCGTACGTCTTCAGTATATGGTGCATGAGTTACATAGACTACTCTTCAGTACAAATGTTTCAGTACAATCTAACAGAATTATCATTTTGGGAAAAAGTATTCCCTTCTCAACCTTTTATTTCTGCTCTTAACTGATTTCTCTTTTCCTTTGATCGCCTTGCATCATCTTGGTTTTACTTTTGAACCTGCCTTTTATTAGTTTACGATTAAGAACAAAACTATGATAAACGGAAAAGTCATCTTAGCACAAAATGGTTGAGAGCATGTAACACTCAAATTCAGTTGTCCTCTGTGTTTTTAGAAGTTTGGCGACCAGCCCAACAAGATAAGAGACAATTATGCTCTTGCTTCCCAAACTAAAGCCAAGACAATCCCGTAGTGAGAGGGAAATTGTGAGGAAGTGAGATTATCTATCTAGTGACCTGTGGTTGGTCGTGACTTTCTTTTGGGCCTCTTGAACGTTCTTATCAGTCCAGATGACTACAACTGCATTGAGTCTTCAGTGTAGAGTTTCTAATAGCAGTGCGGAAGAAGTCAGTCAGCTTCAGAGGCAAATGTATGGATGACTGCCTTATCTGCAGTTAAGGGAAATGGAGAGGGCTTCTGTGAAAGGTTGCTTTTGTGTTGGATGTGACTAGGGAGAAATTTGTAACATGCGATCCATGTTCTCGTCTTATCAGACAAAAGCCACCTGAATGCAGAAATAAATGCAGTATCGAGCACGAACCAAAGGGCAAAGTGACAAACCATCTATTCTTAAAGAAGTGACATTATGAGATGACTTGGGGTATCACGAAAGGCAGCAAGAAAACCATCAAAAATACAATCCCACCAGAACAAGCAGTAAAATCCAATTTCATTGACATTACAGACATTATAAGGAACTTTTTGTTTGCATTTGTGTGCAAATAAAACAGATAAAAACAGATGTTAATGAAGTATGAATGGGACTGAACGCAATAGATAAATCTGTGATTCCAGCAAAATTTTACACCAATTACAGAAGTCAAAAAGAGTTTGCACGTACAGCCAACATCTTGTCCATTTCTTTCTCTCTTCATCTAAAATGTCCTCCCAGTGATAGCTGATAGTCTCAGCGTTTAATTCCATCCATGTAGCAAAACCAATGAAATGTCAATTTAAGACAGTCGGTGTATGGCCAGGCAAGGGTATCAATTGGACAATTATACGACAGACCATGATCCCTTCTAGTCAAAATGTTTCTATTACACTTTATTTCTACAGCAAAACTAAAAGTTACATCACTCTGTTGCTATTATTACGAATCTCTGCTTTTGTCCTTTAGCTTTCATGGTGGGTGATGTGAAATAGCAAAAGAATAATAAAATCTAACAAAAATGACCTCACTCAGGTACTCTAAAAACACACAGCAATAAGATACAAAGGTTATAGGTTATAATCAACAAGTTTTAATTAGAAAATTGTGCACTTTTGATTTTTTCCAGTCCAGAGGAAGATGTTTTCATGAAAAATTGTTCAATTCTTTTTTCTTTTTTTTTTCCCCTCGACCTTTGCATTCAAGTGGGCCTTTTATATAAATCTTTTCATCTTATGAAAATCTGACATACCTGTTGAGCCAACATCAAATCTAAATGTAAATTGAAAAAAGAAATAATTATACCACACAAATGATAAGATCTGAGGTGATTTAGCCTGGTGAGAATTCACACGGCATGTCAAAGAACCCATTTACCTTGGACCCTTTTATTCTGCCTATTACAGGAACCTGCCATCGGTTCAGTGTACTGTCATTAAACACAGAGGCCCTTGGGCAAGATTCTAATCAAGTATGAAAGAAACGGTTAAGTGTGTGCGAAACACATTTTTTATTTTCCATATCCATGACCAGAGGCTGGACCGTCATAGCTCATTCTCTCTAAGACCTTCCACATGGCCTTGGGGAATATTTCTGACCCAGTTATCTGGAATCACACAGTTATGTGTACACTTCTCTAACACACATGCTGATTCACTGCTTTGTGAACAGTATGTGTCTTGTATTATATATATCTATATCTATCTATCTATGTGTGTGTGTGTATGTGTGTGTGTGTATATATATATATATATTCTCAGTGATTTGCTGGTCTGCGGCAGATTTAATGCGCGAGGTAAGCTGTTCCCGAAGCGCTCGCCCAATCGCAAAAATATGCTGTTGCTGTCAGATCTCGATTGCCGAGAATCACACTGTGTTTGATGCAAAACCAACTCGACTAAATCTAAAGAAAAAAAAACACACTGTATATTTTTATTTTCTCAAGCAAAGCAAATTTTAAAAGTCCACTGAACAACTTACATTTTTGGTCATAGACAACGTATGTTGAAGATATACGTTATTGTCAACGTCACTCAGCATACCTGGTTAAAGGGGTCATATGATGCAATTTCGTGCATTTTCAATCAGCCTGTCTGCTGTTTTTGTTCAGACCAGTGTGACAGTTTATATTTTTTAAGCAGCAAACACACAGTTGTAAATGTGAACCAGTGGATGGCTAATATGCCCTAAAATAAAAATTTAAAGACAGTAAAATATATTTATGCTTTAAATTAATATAATAATTGATATTCTTGACTTATCCTTTTTCTTAAAAATGTTTTAAAGGCTGAAATGTGAAGTTTTTTTTATAAAAATGCGAAGAACATTTTATAAAACTTTGTTCACAATATCAACATTGACCACCACAAATAGATTTGCAAAACTCATGCAAGAATCACGATATGGCTCTATTAAACTTCAAAAGGCTATGATTTAATTGAATAAATCTGAGCGCTGCACATTTCAAAGTCAGTCACATTTCAGATGTGTCTCTGAAGGAAACGGACTATATTCAGAAAAGTATCAATGTCATTTTAATTTTATTTTACCTACTTATAATCCCTGATAAAGCGTTTATGAGCACAGCGCTGCTTTGTGTACAGTCGTTACTAGGGTTGGGAATCTTTAGTCACCTCACGATCCGATTCCGATTCGGATTTTTTTTTTTACAGATTTGTAAAAACCTGTATCTGAACTGTAAATCATGTTTTTTTTTTACAGCCATATTACAGTTTAATATGTTACCACAGACATTGCTCATAAGGTATTAATTTAATTCGTGCAGATCTTAAAAAAGGTGTTAAAAAGCCTTAAATGTGATTTTAAAAACCCTGCAGATAACCTGACATAGGCTAACTTATATCGACTGTAACGTTAACTTCCTTAACTGGCACTCAATGTCTGCTCCTTCAATCCAGATGAATATTGAAAAATATTTTCCATTAAGTTTTTTCAAGAAAGCCCCGTAAAATTGTATGTTAAAAAAGTGCTAAATGTGTTATAAAAAGTAGAGATGTGGTGTGGGGGACATGTTTAATTATGTAAATAAATTTCTTCGCAATTTGAAATATTTGCATTGGAGCATTTTTGTATTTTTAGTATTATAATCAGGGCTTGGCATTAAGCATTCTCATGTGGTTGTCCTTCGGACAAGTACATTTGTCATTTACTTGTCCGAGTATAAAAGTTACTTGCCCGGAGAGAAAAAAAAAACATTTAAATGGAGTTATAAATATAATTATTTATTGTAGTCATACAAAACATAGTATAGTGTTTATAGAGTATACAGTATGTAGTAGATTTTGTGAGCATGTCACATTTAGTTTATTTAGTTAGATTTTTCTTTTTAAATAAAATAAACAAAATAATAAAGTGAAATCAGTATCAACAAAATTGTCGACAACAAATCTTTGCAATGCAGAGGAAACACAGAAGCTGCATCTGAAGTGGCATTTAGATGCATTTACACATTGTTTAATGCAGGACATGAATGCATTTAACCTGCAGTTACACATGCATATATAATGTTTTAATACTGTCAACTTAAAACGTTGAAAACTGATATTTGAAATTATTAAAAAAAAAATAATAATAATTTAAATGTGAAATTAAAACTGCCAGTAGGTGGCATCAAGTCACTGTAAATAAGTGAGTTATTGCGATTGAACCGAATCATTCAAACGGATTCATTCAGGAACGAAACACCGTCATGTTGCTCAGAGACGCAAAACAGTGCTGTGGCTGTGTTTGGAATTATTTCTGTTGGCGAAATAGAACAAAAACAGGCAATATGGTGTCTAAAACGTAAGTCTCTTAATATTAACTTCATGTTAATTGAACTGTTGTATAAAATCACATTTGTAATCATGCCGATTTTTGGAGCAAAAAAACGGTGCTCGATCTTCGTGTGATATTGTTTGACTATATGAAATTATATAAATATATACATTTTCTGCCCCCATATCTTGAATTTTCTGATCATTCTTCATGAATTATAATACTGAATCATGCAGTGAAAGAACGCACACGTGCACTAGTTTAACCTACTAGACTTCTTTACATAGGGCTAATGTGTGCGTGCACTCTGTAGGTGTGTTTTGTTTGATTTTTGCAATATACTCAATAATGTCAAATCGCACATCGTTTAAACAACAATTATGATATTATCGCAAATGATATATATCACACACCCCTATAACAATGGCTATATCACAAATAAAGGCAGTTATTATTGTTTATGGTATTGACATTTTCATGTTACTTGTCCGATTGGGCAAGTAAATATCTCTTTCACTTGCCCGTCCAAAACATTCACTTGTCCCGGACAAGCGTTAATGTCGAGCCCTGATATATATACAGTGGGTACGGAAAGTATTCAGACCCCCTTCAATTTTTCACTCTTTGTTATATTGCATAATTTTTTTTTATTATTATTATTATTATTATTATAACAATTTCAATGCAGCCTTGGTGAGCAGAAGACAGTTCCTTCAAAAACATTGAAAAAGCTTACTGACACCAAACCTTTGAACTGTAGTGTAGTTTATCAGCGGTAAGATTGTCTTACTCAAGTCAGCACTTACCGATCACTCTCTCTACTATCTGGAATTGCTTGCTCAGGTCATTGGTTAGTTCTTGCTGGCAGTTGTAATATTCTAAATCTTCAGGTGATGCTTTCTTCAACCTAAAAAAACAATTGTAATTTAAACGTTTGGTGTCAGTTTTTAGTCTGTAAAAAAAATGGCGTTCATGTTCAGCTTCAAGATGCCAGTTTCTTCCAGAGATCATATAAAAATGAGAACATGGCATCTCTGTGAGCACTGACCAAGCATTAAGCTCTTCGTTTTTCTTCTTGAAGTTTTCCAGCTTTTTCATCCCTTTGACTTTCTGCTGAGTGAGGGAATCTACACTCTCCCAGGTGCTGTGTATGTAGGACCAGCCTTTCCACTTGATGAGGAACTGAGTCTCCCCTTCATCGTTCTCAGGGTCAAAGTCTGCTCCAGGGTCCCCATTTTCCTCAATAGCATAGAGAGTTGTGGAAGCTCCAGTAGCTGTAAACAAGGTGGAGAAAAAATAAGGGCTTTAATAAACAAGCACAATAGCTTGTGTGTATCACAAAATATTAAGTATAAAAAGAAAAACTTTATAAAAAGTTCTTTACCTCCTTTTTTGCCAATTTTGGTCTCAAGGACCTTCTCAATGGTTTCACTGTCATTGTCCTGTTGCTCCTCGGCTCCTTCTGCCATTTCAATAAGGTCATCAGAGTCCGTCTCGAAATCATTCTGGTCCTCCTTGTAACTGCAACACATACTTCATCATTACTACACTGCTAAGTCATAATACTTAATTGGTCAATCACAAATAAGAATGTCAATGAAGAAAAGGAAAAAGAAAACTTACTGAATGCTAGTTTGTATGGTTTTTAAAACTTTTATGCCATTTTCAAGAACAATTATTTATTGACTCTAAAAATTTTATTTGGTGTAAAATATGTATGTGTGTGAGAGAATGAAATGGAACAGGAAAAAATAAATAAATAAATGAAATAAAAATAATAATAAAAATTAAAAGTTTGCATACGCGTTTTCTGTTTAATATAATTTTTTCATCTTAAAAATCATATTTAAACTTAGTTAAATAAAGTAAAACTACTTATATAAAATGCATATAAATATAAGTTATACGATAAGGATTGAGCGATGTAAAAATTTATGTTTCTCATGTATCATATTGGCTACATTTTAAAATTAACTAATAGGATTAAACTAAAAGACCGTTCGCTTGACCCGAAAAACAAAAATGCAGAAATAGATAGGCGTAGTATTTACTGTATGTATTAAATAACTATATCGCTGAATAAATGATCATATTTCTGACAAGTATGGCAACTCCCATATATCAGCTCTACATAAACTCCTTAATAAGATGAATCCTTACCTGACTTCAGTTGCTGCTCGCCGCCTTGTTTGTCTTTTTGGGGTATCCTCCTCATCATCGTCATCATCCTCATCTGAGGACTCCTTCCTCTGTTTCCGTCCCTTTTGTGACTGCTGCTTACCAGATGATTTGGTCTGTGGCCTGGGAAGGGAAAGAGAAAAGTAAACACACATATATGCCCTCATTTACCATGGTAGGCTTTTTGCCTTTGGTTCCGCGTCCCTGAAGTGTTTGCTAGTGTAGCGACTCGTTTTCACACCCATCAGCCTGACTCATAAGCCAATAGCCTTGAGACAGCTGTCAGACTTATATAGCAGTCCTAATTCTTCATATATCAATATTTTAATGATTATATTGATCATTATGCCAAAAGTACATGCTTTAACAATTTAGGACACATGCGATAATTTATGAAAGAGCAAAGAAAATCACACCAATATTTTTAGCACAACCATAGCAATTAAAAATGAGCCATCACCGTTTGCATTTAATAAGACAGCTCATTTAATAATTCACGATGCGCTGTCTGAAGGCCAGGCTTCGCTACACTTACCTTCTAGCAGGAAGTCGTCTGGATCTAACTTTTTTCTCTTCCTGCTCACTCTCTGAACTGCTGGCCTCTTCCTCAACATCCTCTTCGTCATTTGAGTCATCATCTTTCCAGGTATTTCTTTCAACACAGAAATACCACAGGTTCATCTATTGGACCTCTGTTAGCTTCTACTTCTAGCCTATCGTAAAGCTGCAAGCTAGTCCGTTCACTTATTACCCACCGCGCAGGCAATTAAACATGCTGCGAGAGACACCTCAGTGTGAATACAGCACTGTTCAAAAGTTTGGGTTGGTAAGGTTGTTGTTGTTTTTTAAAGAAGTCGCATGCTTACCACGGCTGCACTTATTTGATCAAAAATACAGCTAAAGTGTAATATTGTGAAATATTTTTACAAATTAAATTTCCAATTTAAAATTTGTATTTATTCCTGTGGTAGCAAAGCTGAATTTTCAGCAGCAATTACTTCATTCTTCTGTGTGACATGATCCTTCACAAATCATTCTAATATGCTGATTTGGTGTTCAGGAAACATTACTTATTATTATCAATGTTGAAAACAGTTGTACTTTTGTGAAAACCATTAACATTTTTTCAGGGTTCTTTGATGAACAGAAAGCTAAAAAAAAAAAAAAAAAAAAAAAAAACGGCATTTATTTGAAATAGAAATATTTTATAACAATTGAATTGAATGCATCCTTGCTGAATACATTTAATAAAAATAATTCTTACTGACCCCAACTTTTGAATTGTAGTGTACTCACAATGTATGTATTGCATTTTATAATAAAACTAATTTGTTATAAACTGAAGGTTTAGTTAGAAAAGTATTTTATTCTATATACTTATAAACCACACTTAATGTATGACTGTCATTGCACTATACACAAAACTTCATATCAAGTGGCATCTGCAGCATCTTTTCTCAAAACTTTTTTTTCTTAACCATTTGCTTTTAGTTAACATTTTAACAAGCAAATGCGAATTCTTTTTTCAATTACTTACAAAAAAAATACTTTTTTTTTTAGTTTTTAAATACCTTTTAATATAAACAATATATTTAGTGTAAAGAAAAACAACTGCCCAAAAGACATTTACATGCAAAAATACAATCATGATTTAAAAAAAAAAAAAACTAAAACAGAGGCACACATTTGTAAATACAAAATGGAAAAATGAGAGTGAGAGACCTACTTACATACTTCCAGTACACTTACTCTTTCTTTTTCTGCCGCAAGCTTTTTCTTTCAGGAGTTTCACTCTCTGAATCACTGCTGCCCTAAAAATCCATGAAAATCCATTTTGAATATGTGGCACTAAGATTACAAGCCATGAATGAAAATGTCATGTTTCAGATTAATCAAGAAAACAAAGCTTTCAACACATGGGCGTATGTTTACACGACTTGGGTTGCCAAGCCTGATCAGTTCCGAGTCTAGAGCCAAACATAAATGTTTACGCTTTACTAAGTAACCATGTCTGTAATTACTTTAGTCCAAGAAGCAGAACATGTTGTCAACTTGCTGCAAATGTCAACACAGTATGTGAAAGAACGCAAGAAACCACTAGGGGTCAGTGTTGAATTGATTTTTGCACAGCCAGCCTACCTCAGCTCCAATGTTGAGGCGAGCAGGCTCTTGTCTGCTGCGACTGGATCTTCTAACACCATAAATATCTGGATGTTCCTCCCACATCTATGATAATTAGGGATATAATTCATTTTAAATCATAAAGCAATTAATCAGCAGCTAAATTTAAACTTCCACTGGGTTGATCCTAATGTTCAGGCTGGCCTATTTTTGTACCTTCTTCACATCTGCCAGGTTGTCTTTCTTCCTGACTGGTTTGTCTTTGACCTGCGCTGAGGTCTGACGGGATTTGGACCCAGTGGATTCACTGCCTGACTCCGAGTGGCTCTCAGAATCAGATGTGCTGTTGGATTCGGAATGCCGGGAACGAGCTCTATCACTTCCTTGCTCGCTCTCAGACTGACTCCCAGACTCTGATCCAGAGCGGTTAGATTCCTCTGATGCTGAATTGCTATAACATTAAAGATGTGCATGTTGAGAAACAATGAAAACATGTCAAGTTGCTCTAAACAGTAAAGCAGGAACGTTCACTTTTAAGTCTCAGTTATTGCCAAAAATGTCATTCAGCTCTTATGAATTGTCAATAGGTAAATTTGTAGTTTATAACTTTTAATATTTTAACTTGTTTAATTCTAAATCACTTAATTATGCCACCTTTTATTTTCACCAATTTTAAACTGACAAGTCTCTTTTAAACAAAATGTAATCATCTCAGTCCAACAAAGAAATGCCGAGTCCTCAAGTGGGATGTCTTCAACCATGCTGTTTCTTTGTCTATGTAAACAATAGCATTCCAAGGATTTGGAAACTAGAAATGGGGAAGTCCAGTTCAACACATGGGAAACTTTTTGCATTTAAAATCTACAAATAAAAAATATGCTACTTAAATGACAAACTGACAACACCTGTAAAATTAGAATAATTAATTTAATTGACAGAATTAGGAATCGTTTTTACATGTGCAAATGAGCAAATGTATAATAAGACATTTACATACAACCTGGTTTACTGATTTTTTTAATGATTTCATTTTATTTCAAATTAAAGATGTCTTTCAGTGTGCAAATCCAAAAATGTAATTTAAAAAAAAAAACTACCAAAATAACCTTTATGAAATGTGAAACTATCGGATATGTGGCATCATCCTGCAGGTCATTTTGTGTCTGACCACTGCTGCTGTTCTTTTGCCCTTTGAGTTTAAAAATAAATGCAATGGCTTCTTTCTTGAACAAGCCCAACCCCGTTTACTATAAATGAAACTATCTCAAAATAGAACATTTATCTTCCTTACATGGTTAAAAAAAATGAACTTGTTTCCTTAAACCTCAGTTAAAAGTATCTCAGTAGTGCTCTTTTAATTTGTTACAATGGCACCCATGGGAAACCATAACGCTGAGCTGGATGTGAAAGCTAGCACATTGAGTACTATAATGGAATGCACTGCTAGAAACAAACACCCCCATCAAGTGCTCTGGAGCTAAACAGCTGCTGACGAAGCAGCCAGACTGTCCTTATATGGTTGCTGACATCACATATGGGCGGACCTAACCTCTCAACTGAATTCTCATTGGCTGCTTATTGCTAGCCAAAGGAAGGACCAATGAAAACTCGGTATGAAATCATCTGACCTCTACAAGACTTCCTACTTCCGCTTCCTGTAGTTCCAAGAAGCTTTTATGTAATGCAGCAGAGCAACTACTACAAGCTATGCAGCACAAAGCAAGAGCCATTTTGTGACTTTGAGGACTTTCAGCCATTTAATGAAACCAGTCTCATACAGTGATGAAACAAAGCAGTGCTTTTTATGTAGCGCTAAGCCATACAAGCACCTCAAATAAAGTACACTGGCTGTAATATAGGAAAAACAGATTTTTCAGCTCTTGTTTCATTTAGTAATACTTAGAAAATGGCTGTCACAGCTAAAAATAAATAAATAAAAAAACAGTGAAGATGTTTCTGAGGACACTGCATTGATTTAGGCTCTAATGTGCATCTTTATTACTGAAAACATTATTTGCAACCTATAAAAGTGAGCATACATGTTCATTTGACAATTCATGTTCACATACACAGCATGACATATAACTACTGTTTGTGTAATTGTGAAAAGATAACATACATTTGAGGGCTTTTTTCATTTTAGACTCTGGTATCTGGCACATATGCAGAAACGTCAAAGCTGTCATCAATTCAGAGGGACATTCTTGACAAACAACCATAAAAATAATGACAGATCCAGTCATAAGCACTATACATAACATCAAAACATTGTGTGTTTTTTTTTAAGACTTATGACCCACAGGGTAAAACCCTCATTGATGAGGTCTTATGTTGTTAAAAGTTGAAGCAAATTATATGTTAAAATGACACAAATTGTGTGTCTGTGTTTAAGTGTATAGTGTAAATACATTATTATTAGACTTTCAAAACTGAACAAGTGGTAATTAAAATATAATCTTCCATTCAAACTTTTTTTATATATATTTCCTGAATAAACAAAACATGAACCTGGCATCACTGTCTTATTTCAAAGTCCCCTGCAAAATCCTTGTCATTAATAATGCATATGTAAATACATTTCTGTAAAAGACAAATTACTCTTAATATGAAATAACATTATTTACAACTCAAATAGTTCCAGTTTTCATATGGAAATAAGAGTAACTGTGAGTGTAGTAAAGAAACCAAAATATGTTGCTTCCACTTGCATGTTTGAAACCAAGACATCCTGTTTTTTATTTGGCTTGGAGGAGAAAACAATGATAGAACATATATACATATTCACATTGGAGAACTACTTTTGATTTAGATGGTACTATCAGTCTTAAGGAGCAACATATCTGTCTGGGTTTTTCTTTTTTTCCAAGGTTTTTGAATGTTTCACCCAAAACTAGTTTTGCTGCTGAAAGTTATTCAAACTAAACCAATTGTGACAAAACAGGACAACGCTTAAAAATAATAAACACTCTTTAAAAGAAAAAAACACTTTTTACACTTTTTTGTAAAAAGCAAAAAAACATATCTTAAGCGTGCAGAATAACATGTGGACTTTGAACGATTAATTGCCGCTTTGAACGATTACGTAATTGTGTCATCCATAATTGTCATCGCGATTAGAAATTCGATTAATTGTGCAGCCCTAAGTGAAAGCTAAGTATTTTTTTTACAGAGAGCTACAATAAACTGTTTCAAAAGTAGTGAATTATGAAATATGTGATTGAGTGCTAAGCTAGAAGTGTACTTATATATGAGGTAACATACCCCATGTCATTAGGGAATTATAAATATTTACTCCATAAACATTTAGTACCCTTATAGCCAATGACAAATATTGTCATTCACACAGGTCATGTGACCCTAAAACAAGTAGTATTTTAGTATACATTTTTTTTTTAATAAAAACAAAAAACAAAAGTGATTCTTATTTCCTGTAATAAGCAACGGTTTGTCATAATTTAAAATACAGTTGCACAGTAAACAAGCAATGGTTTTGTTGCTATTACAGAAATAAAAAAGTAAAAAAAAAAAAATATATGTACAACATACAATCATCTTCATTTTGGATAAAACAATTAACTTGCTTTAAAAAATTTATTTATGTGAAATGGGATTTCATTCAAATATTTCAAGAAAATCAGACTGAACAGGTTCTCTATACAAGTACTGCAATATTAATTCAAAGTTATCAAATGCTAAACTCATGCAATGTCAAAGTAAAAGTGTTTCAAATGGCATTAACCTTACATAGTGATGCAATGCAGCACATACTAATCAGACAAGGTCATTTCACACGACCACTATTAAAGCGTAAATATTAAAACTGTAATAACTGCATAAATCTGTATAAACCCTGTGCGTCTTTACTATAAATTTGGGTGAAGGCCCATAGGCCTTGAATTCACTTTTAGAAATACTAGCAAAATCAGGGTGGGGCTATACATCTATCCCAAGGTCAATGATCCGAAACCCAAATATTTTAGAGACATTGTGGTTTAAACTTCTGCACAGGTGATCAACCATGCTTGTAAAGGTAAACAATCAAGACACATGTTAAAAAAAAAAAAAAGAGAGGAAAAATATTAAAGATCGTACCTGGAATCATTGCTTTGAGTCGAGCCTTCATCTTCCTGCTTTTTACTCTTATTCTTCATCATGATTTTGTCTTGGGATTTGTTAATGATGATCTTTTGTCCAGGTATTAACTGTCAAAAGTTTAAAGTGGGATGAACCATCAAAAAAAAAAAAAAAAAACCCTGCCGTTGCAATATATGGAAAAGGCAAGTTGGGATTGGATAGTTTAAAATAAATAAATATTTATAGTATTTCTTAACTTAAAAAGCATCGGAATCGAAATGACACCTGCTCGACTCTATTCGATGTCAAATACCCAAGTGTCTATGGCATTTCAAGGCAATAGATTCAGAGCCACATGCATAAATTCTTACTGCGTCATCAAACAAAGGACGATTAAAACATAACGATGATAGCAAATAAAATCGACAATAAAAAAGAAACGATGTAAGCATACCTACTGCATTGACAGGAGGAGGAGTGTATCAGTACATTCACATCTAACAAAATATCCGTTTTATTACTTTGGCCATAACAGGGAAAAAAAAATCTAAAATATTCCAGGAGTGAGACGAAAATAATAATCGGAATAATATTCGGAAAGAAAAATAATAGCAGTAATCCACCGATGGCTATTTGAATGGAGACAGAGAGTGAGAGAGTGTGAGAAGAGCCCAGCAGAGCGCACTACAAATGGAGGACCGCTATGGCTGCCAGTGCAAGGCAGGGAAAACAACGACTGGCCACTCTACGCACACACCAGAGCGCTTTTCGGCGAAACAAAGTCACAAAACGTCTCTATAGACCAAAACGTAACAAAACGAACGATTTCGCACGATTACGGTGCCCCAAGAGGCAGTCAAAGTTCAGCAAAGTTGAGATACAAGTGCTATCGAGAGCCCTGCAAGGCTCAACGCTCTCCCCTTCCCAAGGTTCATCCGCCATCTAAAGCTCCTTCCCAGCTCTGAGAGCTTAGCCTTTGATTGACGTTCTCTCCATTTACCCAGGGCTCAGGTGATGCACGAAAGTCCCACCCCTTTCATTTTCAATAAAAACTAGTTGTTTCATATATAAATTTAAAGCTCAAGTTAGTTCTACCCTACAAGTATAGTAGCTGAACAACTGATTAGTGGTTTTAAATTGCAGGAGTTATCTTTATGTTGATAAAATTATTTCTTTAAGCCTTCACTTCCTGCATAGACAGGAAATGAGACAACAGACTGCCATTTTGCAGTGAGTGCTGGACTACACTGGACACCATTTTAGACCACTTAATTTGAACCCTTTTACACCTGCTCTGTATATGTAATGTACTTTGCAAACGTGATATTTGAAAGAGGAAAGTTGCGTGCACCAAAGCTTGCAGAATGGCCCCTGTGAGCAAATGAGTTATTTTAATTCAGTAAGAAATTAATGGGTGGAGTAAATTAAACAAAAATAATTTGCGAAATCCTCATAATTATGGAATACAACATATGAATAAAAAAAATTAATAAAATCAAAATAAAATCAACCGTTAGGGGCAGTTAAAATGACACAAACCCTTTAATGATTGAAAATATCACCTAGCTTGTCAGTTAATAATTCATAGTTTAAGTAAATAACATAGCAGACCTGTATTTTTTAAAAAATAAGAAAATAAAACCTTAAACCTGGACAAGCGGTGTTAAACTTCGACATAAACCGCAAAGTAAATCTTTTGCGAAATGTCATTTATATTCTCCATCCAATAAGAGCAACTCGATATTGTTCAATCACGAAATTATTTTTTATTTTAAAAAGGCAAATAAGCATTTTTTAAATTTAAAATACAGGCATTTCATCAAAACAACAATGCAGTAAAATATGAGAAAATACATACAATTGTTGAGCACATTAGCGAATGAATTAAAATATCA